ATTTATTTTTAAAAATTAAGTTGAATGAGTATTTGTGTATCTATAGGACAAAAAAGAGAATTATACATGAAACTACAGATCTATGTTACATACCGCTTGCTTTTCTTTTTGAGAATAATCAGACCAACCTGTAGCTTTCAAAGCTTCCCTGCTCGTCTGTGCCTTTTTCTGGTCTTTCTTTGGTTGTCTGTATTTTTTTAAAAAAAGCCTCAATCCTCTTTTCTTTCTTCTCTCCCTCCCTCCCTTCCTTCCCCCTCCTTCTCTCTCTCTCTCTCTCTCTCTCTCCTCTCTCCTGTCTCCCCCACATCTTTTGAAAAAAGAAAACAACACCCCTGTAATAAATATGCATAGTGAAGCAAAACAAATTCCCATGTTGGCCATATCCAAAAAACGCCCATCTCATTCTGCACCCCAAGCCCACCGTGCGGCTTCGCCAGGAGGCTGGGCAGCGTGTTTCCCTTTCACTGCCCCTGCCCAGTTCTTTCTGCCTCTTTTACCCATTTTTCATTCGACCTTGGGCGAATCTTTTCTCCATTCTGGGCCTCCACGTCTTAGGACGGGACCTTAGAAATCATTTAGTCCAACCGCTTCCTTTTACAGATAAGGAAACTGAGGCCCAGTGAGGTGAAGGGACTTGGCTAAGGAGAGGAGGCTTGAATCCTGGGCCCCACAGGCTGCCCTGGCCTCGCTGCTGACCTCGGGGCCTTCTCTGAGTCCTTGATTGCAGCCCGGAGCCGGAGCCCTAGGCTGGGCTGCGCCGCTGAGCTCCAGAGCAGCCCCTGCGCGGGGCCCTGAATTATTGATGGTCCTTCGGGTGACATCCTCTCCTTCGCTCTCCTCTCCAGAGAAGGAGAAAGAGGAGGAGGGTGGGGGGCGGGGCTCAGCACTGCCCACAGTCTAGTCCGAGCTTCCTCCCCATCCTGATCGCCCCCGGCCCCAGGAGGCCTCCGGACACCCCCGGCAGCAGTTCCCCCACCTCACCCTCACCTCCACCCCCACTCCACTCCGAAGTTTCTTCACCTCCCCCAGCCCCTGCCCCCACTCAGCCGGCTTCGTTTGTTTATTTTTGGCTGGAGGCGGGAGGGAAGGGAAAAGCCGGGGCTGAGAGGAGGTGTCTAGACCCTAGCCAAGGGCAGGGGTGGGGATGGCTGGGGAAGGAAAAAGAATAACTTTCATTTCCAGTAGAAAAGGCGCTGAGGAAGCTGGGAGCCTGGGTTCGAATCCTAAGTTCTGTTCAATTCAACAAGCATTTATTAAGCGCCTACTTTGCCAGGCACTGTGCCAGGCACCAGGGATGCGGAGATAGAAACGAAACAGTCCCTGTCCTCAAGGAGCTTACGGTCTACCGGGGGAAATCACATGTAGGCAGGTAAGCAATCACAAATGATATAGAAAATAAGGAAAAGGTCACTGAAATTCCAGCTCAAATCCCACAGGCTAGAGCCGGGGAAGCTTCCCTGGTCCGCTTAAGGTCAATGCCTTCCTTCCTTCGGTTAATTACCTCCATTGGATTATTTCTATATATGGTTTGTTTGTGCACACTTGTTTGCAGTGCGTCTCCTCTATTCGATTGGAAGTTTTTCAAGCGCGAGGACTGTTTTTTGCCTTTGTATCCCCAGAGCTTAGCACAATGCCTGACCGTATGGTAGGCGCTTAATAAATGTTGATTGACAGGAAAGGCCCTTCGTAGTAAGTGGCAATTACTTGAGTCTTGTCTCTAAATCCAAATTCTTTCTAGCATTTCTTGGCTTCGGTTTCCCTAACCATTTTTTTCTATGACAGTCTAGGAAGCCAATAGACCCCTTCTCAGAATCATATTTATAAATGCATAAAATAAGATACAGAGGGAATGTAAATATTGTTTATAAATGCATAAAGTAAAATAAAAAGGAGACTAATTATTGTGAATAGCTATCCCCAATTAAAAAAACAAAACAAAACAAACAAGCTCACGGACCTGAGGTTAAGAACCCAGGAGATGATCTCTGAGATCCACATCTGGGTTCCTAAAGTTTACATCCATTATTCATTTGATCTTCTGGACAGTTCTACCAAGTAGGACTTACTACAGGGCTCACTCTCCCTTACCCCACCCGAGTGGTTATGCTCATTTCACAGATGAGAAAGCTGACCCTCAACAAGGTGAAGGGAATTTGGAGTCCATTACACTGCTGATGCCTCACTCTCTAAATCCAGGGCCCTGTGAAGCCCTAGAATTGGAATCAGAAAGTCCTAGGTTCCAGTCCGGAGGCAGATACTTCCTAGCTGTGTGATAAGGTGTTTAATTTTTCTGAGCCTTGGTTTCTGCCCTTTTTGGGGGGGGGGTAATCGGGATTAAGTGATTTACCCTTGATCACACAGCTAGTAAGTGTCAAGTGTCTGAGGTCGGATTTGAACTCAGGTCCTCCTGACTCCAAGGCCAGAGCTCTATCCACTGCACCACCTAGCTGCCCCCTGAGCCTTGGTTTCTGAATCTCTAAAATGGAGAGAATTTGACCTGCATCCTAGGGTTGTTGTGAGGGTCAAATAAGATAATATATGCATCATGCTTTGCAAATCATGAGATGCTGTGTAAATTAGTTTTTGTTATCAATACTGTTCCTGCAGTTACTGTTACTTTATGTCGGTAGGGTAATTTCTAGGAACAGTAGAGTAAGTTAAAGACAGGTGAGGCACGAGGCATGAGGCAGAAACTCGGAGGCAGCCAAGTTAAGGGAGGTGGGGGAGTTGGTGCAGAGAACTATGAGATCTCATGACTCCAGAGTCACAGCTTGGATTCGTCTCATCTGTTTCTCTTAGACTTTTCCTCCCAAATCACAGGGCGTGGGGGAAAGTTTTTCTCCTTTGCTCCAATTCGGGTTACGTTCTCCAGCATCAGCAATGCCTTGGAGGGCTCTTCTGGAAAAGGTTTGAAATGAAATCAGCCTGAAGGCTCTAGAACACCCGTATTGTGTAGAGGGGAAGGAGGCTGGGTGAGAATGAGAAGGGAAGAGGGAGGAAGGGAGGGGGGAGGGGGGAGGGGGAGGGCAGAGACACAGGGACAGACAGACGAATGCAGACACACAGACAGAAACAGAGACGCACAGAGAGCCCTGAACAGAGAGAGACAGAAAGACAGACACAGACACACATAGGGAGGTAGACAGAAAGAGAGGACAAAGGTAAAAAGAGAAGAGAAGAGAAAAGGAAAAGAAAAATTCAATCTATTTGTCTTTTTGTGCTTAGGAACCAAAGCAGGAGTCCAACAATCTTTTTAAAATGAAAACCACTCTAATTTTAAAAAGTTAAAACAAAACCGGGGAACATTTCAGCTCAGAAATGTTATCTCCTTTCCCCTCTCTGAAGCCCCCATTGTACATCTCTACCCAGAGAATGAATGAATGAAGAGATATTTAGCTGCTTGCTACCGGGCCTCAGACACGCTGTAGGTGTATGACCCTGAGCAAGTCATAACTTCTGTTTGCCTAATCTACTGGAAAAGAAAATAGCAAACTACTCTAGTGTCTTTGCCACTGGGTCAGGAAGAGTCCGACCCGACTGAACGCCTGAACTACAACGGGCAGAAGAGTTGGTCAATAAACCTTTATTAAGTTTCTATGCGCCAGGAAGTGTTCTGAGTTCTAAATATACAAATACAAAAGCAAAGATGACCCTTATCCCCGAGCACCTTACATTCCAAAGGGTTATGGAGCACTTTGGTCCAGCAAAAATAGGGGTGATGAGAGGAGTATGAGTGGAGAAGATTGACACACCCCATAGTGACAGAGTTGATCATAGTTTCAGGGAATCAACTGTTCTGAGTTAATACACTTGTCTCATTATTTCCCTTACTATTGGTTACGAACAATACGGAATTATTTCTAAAAAGTAATTTGCCCTAAAAGCGGAAAACATCTCCAAATGACTTTCCCGTCCTTCTCAGCAGGAACGGCCATATTCTGCTAATATTTAATAAGTGCATCATATTTTGATTGAGTCTATTTCAGCCTTAAAAAAAAAGAAAGACTCTTTAGAAAGCCAAGATCAGCATCCGTCCTGACCTTTCCTTCCCAGCCTAAGCGAGAGAACAGCTCTCTCTCTGGCCTTGTCCAACGTCAGCACCTATATCCACACAGGGCAGATGTTGGGAAGGGGAAGGAAAGCTACATGAGAATGCTCAGAATCGCTTCACATCGGCATTACCCAAGTTCACCTCTCCAGATCGCAGCCCCGGGAGGAAGGCGCAGGGAGAACCGGTAAATGGGTTGGTGATTTTCAAAGTCCCATCAAAACAAAGCCAGCCACCTCCGCCCCTAGAAGGTGTGTGTGTGTGTGTGTGTGTGTGTGTGTGTGTGTGTGTGTCTGTGTGTCCGTGTGTCTGTGTGTCTGTGTGTGTGTGTCTGTGTGTTCCCTCCTCTCCCCTTTAAAAGACTGGGCGAACAATCCTAAGGAATAAGTGCTGCGCTGGTCTGCATCCCAGTTCTCATAGGGCCAGATCCATCTCCTGAATGAGACATAGGACAGCGGAGAGGGGAGGAGCGGCCGCCCGGGGCGGGGAGGCTCAGGCACCGTGCGAGCGACAAGGGACAGAGCTGCCCTGTTGAGGGGCTCCGCTGAATACTGACGGACCGTCTCTGATGACTGCACTGGGGAAGCTGGAGAGATTCTTGTAGATTATGGGGAGGGGGGGGGTGTCTGCGTTCCATTGTTCACTCTGGCCAATCAAGTTGCCCCCATTCCCCCTCGGCCAATCTCCCTCGCGCTCCCCCCCACCCCTCCCCTCCGGTCCCACATCACCTCTTCTCCCATCTCCCCGCCTCCCCCCCATCGCTAAACCCTGATGTGACGTCACAGACCCCGCCCCCAGGCTCTGGGCCCGGGGGGCTGGGAGCGTGCTGATGTCATGCGGCGTGCGGGGCTAGTGCAGAATTCCTCTCCCACCCAAGTCCTCCAGGCTGGAGGAGTTAGTTAGCAAAGAGCCGAGACCGAACGAGCCCGACCATCCTTCTGTCTGCATCATAACACTTTGCGCATGGTGGATATTATTTTTAATTATCCTTTTCTGGGTGCTATGGGGGATCATTCCAAGAGTAAGTCTTTTTATGTGTGTGTGTGTGTGTGCGCGCGTGCCTGCCTGCGCGTGTTGGGTGTGTGTGCATGATATTAGAAAATATTTTCCTGATATATATGCTTAGCAGCTTCTACAAGTGGCTTCTCTTTGACAAGGCGGTTGGGGAGGCAGATACTCAAACGAATGCACCAGCCCCTCTCTGGGTCCCAGGACTGTAACTCCCTGTGGCGAATATTGTTAATATTTGGGGATCAGAGACTATTCGTGCCGGCCCGGGGCTATGCCGCCCGCTTGGGGTTTGCTGAGGGTCGCGGGGAGGCGCGGACTTCTTTTTCTTCGCCTTTAGCCTTTCGTGCTTTGCAAAGGAAGAATGTCGCCTTGCGATGGTGAATTGTGCCAGACCGCCGGCGCGGGGCGAGCCCTCTGTATTTGTGGCTATTAGGTGTCTGGAGTGCCTGAGTCCCGGAGCCCGGGGTGCCCTCAGCCGAGCGGGGCTGGGGAGCCCGGCGCTCGGCGAGGCTTAAACGAGCTCTTTCTTCGTGGCGGCTTTTCGCATCTTAGTTAGCACTGAGCTCTTTTCGATTAAAAATAATAATAATAATAAAGAAAAATCCAAGGGATCCTAAACTGAAATACCTGGGGAGGGGGGAAAAGCCTCGGCAAATCTGGAGGGTAGTATTTTCCTTTCAAATGACGGAACCTTTAGGAATAGTGGCCTTTTTCTGATGATGATGGGTGGTCGTGATTTCCTTGAAAGAAAGGGGGAGGAGAGAGAGAGAGAGAAAGAGAGAGAGAGAGAGAGAGAGACATAAATAAAAGTTCCTTTGCAAATACCTTCGGAAAGCCAGCAGCTGATGGTGGGTTCCTGAATCTGCCTCCTCTGCTCATTTTCCCTCGTAGAAAAGCCGGGGATTGCTATGTGTGTCGGCTGCGGGAGTCAGATTCATGACCAGTACATCCTCAAGGTCTCTCCGGACCTCGAGTGGCATGCAGCCTGCCTCAAGTGCGCTGAATGCAGCCAGTACTTGGACGAAACCTGCACGTGTTTTGTGAGAAACGGCAAGACGTACTGTAAAAGGGACTATATCAGGTGATGCGCGTCGCTGTTTATCCGTCCAAAGAAAAGCCCCAACCTGGAACGTGACCTTGGCCTCCTCCCCCTGTCCCTGGCTCCGTTTCTTCAGCGCTCATTTCAAAGCTGCCCACCCGGACGGGCTTTCCCCCCCTTTGAGCCCCCGCAGCTCTCCACCTGGGCCTTTCCTAGTGTCGGCTCCTGGGGCTGCTCAGAAACTTTTCTCCCCCCTTATTACTGCATGGTCCCCTCTCCCGTTTGTTCGCTGGAGCAGGGATCCTCTCCAGGAACGCTGAGCTCTTGTCGTTTGAAAACTATAGTTCCCCACGGTATCATTCAATACAGTCGGCCGAGGTTTTTCTCTGTACTTGGTCAGTAGTGACCTAGAAATGGTGGCCCTGGAACTAGCCAGAGTGAGAGAGACAGAAAAAGAGAGGGAAACAGACAAAAAGAGAGAAAGAGAAACCCTTAGGTGTGTCAAAACGCGTCTTTATGTGTGCATGACTATGTGTGCATATTTGTAAGAATAGTGTGAATATAAGTGAATATGTAGGAGCATTTGTATATATGTCTGTGCTTTAATATATGGATATAGATGAATATAGTAATTAGTGGGACTATATGCATATATGTGCGTGAATACGTGTGTAAATGTGTCTATATATTTCTGTGTGTGTAATTGCACAAGGACATATTTGTGTGTCTGTGTGTGTGTGTGTGTGTCTGTGTGTGTGTGTGTGTGTGTGTGTGAATTAAGGAGACAGGCAGAGACAGAATGGGGAACAGATTCAATCAGGAGAGGCCCGGGATTGGATTCTTCCCTTAGCCGCTGGGCATGTTGCTGTTTTAGCTTGCTCTGAGAAGTAGCTTCGGGCCTGCAGGAGGGCAAAGCCTATCCTGGAGCCAGGGAGCAGACTGGAATCCTTCAGGCATTCCTCGCAGGCAGTTAAAGGCACTGACTTTGCAAACTCCCCCTCCGATCCCCCTCACCCCCATTTTCCTCCCCAGGTTGTTCGGCATCAAATGTGCCAAATGCAAGGTGGGTTTTAGCAGCAGCGACCTGGTGATGAGAGCCCGGGAGAACGTCTACCACATCGAGTGCTTCCGCTGCTCGGTCTGCAGTCGCCAGCTGCTGCCGGGGGATGAGTTCTCCCTAAGGGATCACGAGCTTCTGTGCCGGGCAGATCACAGCCTCCTACTGGACAGGGCCTCTGCAGAGAGTCCTCGGAGCCCAGGACACCTACCAAGCAGCAGGGGCCTACATCTGTCAGGTAAGGGTTATGGAAGATCTCTATCCTGGTCTGGGGGAGTTTAGAGATAATGCCTATGGGCAGTGTGTGTGTGTGTGTGTGTGTCTTTCTGTGCGTGTGTATGTGTGTGTGTGTGTGTGTGTGTGTGTGAGAGAGAGAGAGGGAGAGAGAGAGAGAGAGAGAGAGAGAAAGGCCTTGAGTAATTTAATACTTTGAAGCCTCACACTGGGGCCTCTGGTAGACACTCACAGCCAGTGTGCATGTGGGCTGCAAAACCCTCTCCAGGGAAAGTACTAGCTTCCTTCACTGACAGAAAGGTTTCAGTGTTTTGGAAATTCAGGTATAGTCTGAAAGTCAGACTTTTCCTAGGTGCACTCTATTTGAAGTGAACCTATTCAACTGATACTAAACCAAGTTTAGCTGTCTGTAGTATTGGGGACACCGTTCACTAGACCCCATTCTACCTTAAGGCAACTGCTTAAGTCCCTGTGTTTGTGACATAGATAGTACTGACTGACAAAGGTACACACAGTGGGTAGACTTGTGTGTGTGTATTGAAGGTGCAGAATAAGTAGTATCCGCCCCAGATACCTGAATATATGTGGAGAGCATACTGCATCTGGAGCCCAGGGTACCAGTGTTTTTCCCTGGTTAGAGATATAGAAGTGAATTAATATGGGTTAGTGAACATTCAGGGCCTGAGGGCCCCTAGCTGGCATTTAATGACTCAGACCCCATTTTAAGCCCCTCGAAGGGGCTCTCTCCACTTCTGCTTTGGTCCTAAGCTTCTAAGATGATCTGTTTCAAGACTCCCTTTCTTTACCCTGGTATAACTAAGGAACTGAGACCCTGTGTCAAGGAAGCTAAGGAGCCTGGGGTCTCAGGAGGCTGAGGTTGGACTCTGAGCCTGAGGAGCCTGATCTAGAGGAGGCCCAGGAGAGGGGAGAGCCCTGGAGAAGAGAGGAGGAATCTTAGGTGAGGAACAGCTTGGAAGAGAAAGAAACGGACTTGGAACAAGGAGCAAAGGAGGCCTAAGGAGATTGGGAGAAGGAGAAGGGCACAGTGGTAGGAAGGGAAAGAGCCCCAGGGAGTGGGCCAGCTACAAAGGAGTCACTTTTGAGCCATCCCAGAAAACAGACATCCTCCCCCATCAGAGTCCTGGAAGGCACTGCACTATACTAAGACCAGCATCTGGGCTGCCTGAATAATCGGCCGGAGAGAGAGGAGAGTAAAAGCATGCTAGCTCTTACCCCAGATGTTGTCTGCCTGGGAGGGGAAAAGAGGTCTCGGGACCTCTCTCTTCCTCTTCCTCCCCACCCCCCATCCATCCTTTTCTCAAGCCAAAAGGAGAAGCCTGGGACCTTCAGAATCCCTAGCGCTGCTCTGGCCTTTCAGATTTGAATGATTCCTCTAAGCACTCCTGATGCTTTACTGGATGGAAGATAGGAATTGGAGGAGGAGAAGGCCAGAAAGATCATGGGGCAATGTCTTCAGTGTTGAGAGAGTGGTCCTGAGCCCCTGGCAACTGGAGATGTGACTCCTCCACCCGCGTTTGCAGCGAAAGCTGTTAAGGGTCTGGGGCTACCGAGCACAGTTGTTCGTAGCCTGCGGTGCATTTTCTTGCGACGCCGGCACTTTCCCGTTTGTGGCAAGAGAGCAAGAGAGCAGAGGCTCCGGAAGAGAAAGAACCTTGGGGGCTGTGGATGACGGAGGGGCTAGTGGCTGAGCTCATTCTAATGGCCTAAGGTGGAGGGGTGTGTGTGTGTGTGTGTGTGTGTGTGTGGTTCCAGAGAGGCACAGGGATGTGTGCATGGAGATTCCATGCTAAGTTTGGAGTCTTCATTGTCTATTTTAAAAATTACTAGATAGGCTGGTGGCAATTTAGGGAAGAGGCAAAGGGATAGAGAGAAATAGAATAAATACGAATTCAATTAGTCAATCAACAAACATTATTCAAGCACTACGATGTGCTGGGCACTAGGCTAAGCTTGGTCCTGGGAAACCCAAAATGAAAGAGGCCCCTGTCCTCAATTCAGCGAAAAGCCAAGCAAAATAACGTGTGGAAATTGTTTTATGAAAGGAAATTGCAATAAAGTTAAACGAAATAAATCGAATTCGAAAAGCATCTTGCCCCTGCCCCTGTCCCCCGATCAGGAGTTCCCGCAGGGGGCAGCGGGCGGAGCTCGGTGCTAACGCCTCCTTCCTACACGGGCTTTCTCCCGGTCTCTCCCCCGTCCCTTGTCCCCCCGTCCCCCGCAGAAGCAGGCTCTGGCCGGCAGCCTTCGCTCCGACCCCACGTGCACAAGCAGACGGAGAAGACGACCCGGGTGCGGACAGTTCTCAACGAAAAGCAGCTGCACACGCTGCGGACCTGCTACGCAGCCAACCCGCGGCCCGATGCCCTCATGAAGGAGCAGCTGGTGGAGATGACGGGGCTGAGCCCGCGAGTTATCCGCGTCTGGTTCCAAAACAAACGCTGCAAAGACAAGAAGAAATCCATCCTCATGAAGCAGCTGCAGCAGCAACAGCACAGCGACAAGACGGTGGGTGAGGCGTCTCCGCTAATGACCCGGGCGCGCGGTGTGGGGGGAGAGGAAGGTGTGGACGCTGCGTGCGTGTGTTGTGTAGACACACACATGTATACACATATATGTATGTGTGTGTATATATGTACATACACACATACATATGCATGTCTCTATAGAATTATTGTTAACTATTTGGTCCGGGAAGTAGGTGTTCTGAAGAGCAAGGGGGATATTTTAATTAACCTGGTGCCTTCAGCAGTAGCTTGAAGCCAGCACCTTCCTATACCCCCTTGGACGCCCCAGGTGGGGTGGCGTGTGTCTTTTGCATCCGGGCTGAAGCTACTTGCCTCAAAACTTGGAAGGCAGGGGACTGGCCCGGGAGGCATGAAGACGGGACTGAGTAGAGCCTGGCTGGCTAGGGTTGGGAGGTTTCTTTCTTCCTTTATCTCGGGGTTTACCTTTTCCTCCGCGGAACTCAGCTGGAAGCTTTGCTCTCCGGGAGCCTGTTGCACCTCGAGGCGGCAGCAGCTCAGAGGCCACGGCATGGGTCTTCTTGGGGAGGAGGTTGGGGCTTGCCCGAGGTGGCCAAGGGGCCCGCAGGCCAGGGAAGCCTGAAGTTTCTAACACTTGGGGAAGGAGGCGTGTGGCCAGGCTGGTGTCCCGGGTCTCAGAGCCCTTTAGGCCATTCCAACTCCAGGTTGGGGCTTAGAGGATATCAGCCACTTTATTCGTGTGCTCCAGGGATGAGAATGTGGGCTTTCCTCTGCATTTCTCTGGGCCGTTCAGAGTGCCTAAGGAGAGGCCCAGCCTTCAAGTGTGGAATAAGTGAAACGGGTGGGTGGGGAAGTCGCTTTGGTCTGGGGTCCCTTACATGTCTTCCCTGGGTGCTGATCTCCTCAGAGCCTGCAGGGTCTGACTGGGACGCCTCTGGTGGCTGGCAGCCCAATCCGCCATGAGAGCGCAGTGCAGGGCAGTGCAGTCGAGGTGCAGACTTATCAGCCGCCCTGGAAAGCACTCAGTGAGTTTGCCCTACAAAGTGACCTAGACCAGCCAGCCTTCCAGCAACTGGTGAGGACCCCCCACCCCACCCCCAAACTTCAGCCTCTCTTCAGACCTCCCACTCTCTCCTCCCCCCAACTCCCAGGGCTCCACCAAGACTCTCCCTTGATCTTAGCCCATGGCAGGATGTGGGTACAGGCTAATGGGGGAAAGAGGGGTGGACCCAACCCAGATCCTCTGTGAAGATGAAGGCTTAGACTAGCTCTCTACCTCCGAGCTCAGCTCCAGCTGCTAACTGGGTGCTTAGCTTGAGATCTGAAAGGCCCTTTTGGGACACAGGACCCAACCTCCCCCTGCTGAGGGCATTGACCCAGAGGGATTAGCCTAGAGACGGGGAGGGGGGACTCCACAGACAGGGGAGGGACCCTGCCTCCCTAAGTCCCTATTCTTGCTGTCAGCCCCGCAGTGGAGACGATTCCATTTATTTTAAAAGTCATTTTATTGCAGACCCACGTGGCAGAGTAGGCAGGGGGGCCAGGAGGAGGCCTAGCCAGGGCTGATGCTTCCTACCCCGCTCCTCCCTCACTCCCTCCCTCCCTCTTGCCTTCCACCCCAGGTGTCTTTCTCTGAGTCAGGCTCCCTGGGGAACTCCTCTGGCAGCGACGTGACCTCCTTATCCTCCCAGCTCCCAGACACTCCGAACAGCATGGTGCCCAGCCCTGTGGAGACGTGAGGAGCCCGGGGCCCATGGGCCCCTCTTCCCGTGGATCTCGCATGCTCCCTGCATGAGACTCGCCCATGCACAGGCCATTCCAGCTCTCTGGAAACCCTCTCTCCTTTTTAATTCTTATTGTTATTTAAAGGAAAGAGAGAGAGAGAGAGAGAGAGAGAGACAAAAGAGAGATATTGTCTTGACTGCCAAAAGCACCAAGATGTGACCTTCCTTCTTCAGACTGGAGAACCCCTTCTCTGCTGGGTTTATTTTTGCAAAACCAAAATTGAGGATTTACTAGGATTAGGCCTCACCCCTCCCCCTTCCTCCTCCCATATACCATGTAATCCGGCTTTCTGACTCCCCTCATACCAACTCACCTGGTGGTTTATAAAAAGAAAGAAAACCAATTCCCACCCAGAAGCTGGGGACGGCTGACCTCTCCTTTTCTCCCTATGGCCCACTCGGGGTTTTGGGGTCAGCTTCGCAACAACTGGCCACTCCTTTTTTGGTTTGGTGGGGTTTTTTTTTAATGCTTTGTTGGTTAGAGATGGGGGGAGGGTAAAGGAAGAAAAGGAAAGGAAAGAATACCCAAAGCCCAAATCGCATGATCGCTGGACAAACAAAACGAAACTGAACCAAACCCCAAATATATGGAGAAAGACTTTTCTTGCAAATGTTTTAATTTATCAGTGGATGGAGGACAGAGTGTGTGAGCCTTTGCCGAACAAACAAACAAACGTAAGTTATTGCTATTTATTGAGAACAACAAGTTCATAGTGGGACTGATATTTTGATCTTAATAATAAAAAGCAAAACCCCACACCCTCTGGGCTTGCCCCGTGTGTGTCTTGTTGGCTCAGCCTGAGGGTGGGGCCACACAGCCCTCGGGTCCGGAGGTGGGATGGGCCACGTGGACCTTGAGCTAGTTTTTCCGAAAAGGAAACAAAAAAAGGAACACAAATTGTGCCAGGTCGGGGTAAAGCCGCCGAGGGCCACGAATAGCCGCCTGGCACTGGAGCCTTCACGTTGACCGCTTAGGGGAAAAGGAAGGCTCATTCCTCCCACTCCCCGCTTTACAACCTCTTCTCACCTCTTCCGGAGGTCACACCTGCCCTCCACTTCCAAACACCACGTTGCCTCCTCCCCTGAGGTCACAGCCCCAGCCTCCATCACCTCCTGCTCCTCCTGGCTCACACTTCAGACGACCCATTCCTCACCGCCTTCTCCACCATACCTCCCAAGCCAGGCCCAGCCTGGTGCCTGGAGACCTTAGTCACGTTCAGGGGCAGCCCCAGGCCCCGTACTCTGGCCTCTGCAATCAGCCAGGCCTCACACCGTAGCCTCGGCCGTCATGCTCCCCGGGCTTGAGTTTACCATCAACGCCAGGGGAAAACACGGAGGGGGAGGTACAGTAGCTGAGTTCCTTAACTGACCACCGAGGCGCCCTTAGGGGCTGCGGCTGCTGGCCTCAGACAGGCGGGGATGTCGCTGTCCATCTGTCCATCTGTCCGTCCGACGTCGTCTTCTCCGATCTCAGCAGCAGCTGCCCCCCTCCCTCGGGCCGCTGCATTCATTAAGTTCTGTCTAGACAGAGGCGAGGCCGGCGGCCCCTTATCGGCCCCTGGCATCACCTGCAAGCGAGACCCCCGGGAGTCCTGCGCCCCCCACGAGCACTGGGCCGTGGCCGCCCGCCGAGGCTCGGCTTGCTTTCCTGCCCCGGCACGGCACGGGAGCCGCGGACCGCGAGGGCCTGAGGCTGCCGGGGCCAGCCCAGCCGGTGTGACATTTCAAACTCGCGGCTTGGGTTCTCAGGGGTGGCCGGCGCTGAGCTCAGGGAGGCGGGGGCGGGGGCGCTGGTGGGGGTGGAGGGCTCGAAGCTCCGACGGGACGGCCCCGGCCCCGGCCCCGGCCTGGCCTAGCTCAGGTTCTCCCAGACACCAAGGTTAACCCTTTGGGGCCAATGATATCCGGGCGCCGGAGCGGCAGTGAGGACAGGGTGCGCCTGGCGGAGGGGATGCTGCTGGGCAGCGCCGGGGCTAGGGGCAGCAGCCCCTGCCTGCCTACAAGCCGGGGCGCAGGAGGCTGTGCGGAGGAGACAGCACAAATCTTTTCCCTTCTTCCCTTCTTCCCTTCTCTTTCCCTTTTTCTCTTTCCTATTGTCTTTTCATTTTTACTCTGGTGCAGACCTCTCTGCACATAGTAAACACACAATCGCTTTTGCCTTAAATCTTTCGTTTTCTCTTTCATTCTTTCCCTTCTCTTTCATTCTTCTCCCCTCTTTTTTTTTTTTTTAATATGAAAGCTTGTTGGAGAAGATTGAAAGAAAGGATGAGGTGGGAAGGAGATCTAAGTCTATTTATTTTTAACTTCCTGAAAGTCAAGGTGACGCTAGTGAAAGAATTAAAGGGAACATTCTCCCTTCTTTAGGATTTAGGAAATGGTGCTGCAAACTCAGAGATAAGGAAAAAGATAACGCAGGGTTAATGAGGACCAGCTTTACCTCCTGAACTGCCCAGATGCGGTTTAATAAACAGGGCTGGGTTCTTCGAGGCATCTTTTTCCTTAACTGAGACCATTCCCTTCTAACAGAAATACAGACCATCTCTTCTTACCCCTTGGGCTGGACCACTGGATAGAGGGGCTAAAGTTCAGGGGAGTCAAATTTTCGTTTTGGGGTCTTTCATACTACCGGCAACTAAAGCTGTCTTTTTTTTTTTTTTTTCCTTTCTAAATCAAAGTTTGGAATAAGTAGTATAATAGATGTCGATTCTCAGAAATTTTGATTTTCACTGCAGTATTTCTGTTCTGTGAATGGAAACATCTCTATGCATGCACAAGTCGATTTCTGCCTTATCAGCTTAAAACTCAATTCCTCTCTTTGCTATTTTGACACATGTAGGAACGAGCACAAGTTTTGGGAATCAGGAAATAAGCTGGCCGAAGTCAGTAGTAACTCTCTTAGCATCATAGTAGCTGTACCACAGCATTTAACGTCGCATTCTTGTCTCTTTGCAATTGGTGTTTCTGCGGCAGGCAAGAGAAAGCTTCTCTTTCAGTGTGGGTTGCCAGGGAAAGGGTTTGACTCTGATAAGACCTTTTTACAACAGTCCCTAGTGGGGTGTCAGATCTACGGTTAGGGAGTTGCAGCAATAAGGAATATCAATTTTACTGGTTCTCAGATCATCTTGAAACATTTTCTGTAATACGGGAGGGATTTCCCTGTAAATTATATTACCTGTGCAATTACAAGGAGAGGATTTTATGCTTACTGAAGTGAGATACCCATTCCCACAGTAAAAACTCAAGCTAATAAAGAAGGTCATAGGGTAGAAGGAAGGGAGTTAGTTATTTAGATAGAGATTTTAATGTCAGAGTGAGTGAGATTAAAAACAAAATCTACATAGCTTCATGTCATCTTTGTGGGAGAAGGATTTTACAGAGAAAAAAAAAAGTTTGTAAGAATGGCCACATGAAGTTTGCAATTTGGGGGAAATAAAAGTAAAAGAAAAATTCCCTTTCTGGAAACACCTAAAAAGCTTCAGGGACCAGTAGAATTGTAATCGGCCTGCCTTTTTGTGTGTAAAGAAGAAATGAAGTCCAGGAAGGCAGTCAATCAGCAAGCATTTTTGAAGTCTTTACTATGAACCAGGCACTGTGGGCTAAATGCTGGGGGCATAGAGCAGCCAATACTGTCTTGCTCAGGGAGATGGTCTGTTTCTGGGAAGTCGCTGAGATACTTCCATTACCACGTGGAAGAAAGCTGGGATGAATGAATTGCTGCACGTTTAGTCATTTTAGCTAGCCTGCAAGGCGTTTTCCAGCATACAGGAGATGTTAGGGGTAAATGAGTGCACATTTGCAGAGAGGTGTCAGATTGGTAACTTGAAAATGGGTAAATTGGAAATCAAAGTTTACCAAGGAAAAGGATTGCAGTTTTTTTTTTAAAGTCAAAACTTAAAGGGTAGACTATGTCTCTATCTATCTATCTATCTTTGTATCTACGTCTCAGTCTCCATCCCAAGCCCAAGCTGGTGAGGTGAAATAAGACCGTAGGGAGACTGGGACCCTTGGGCAATGGTGACTCTTCATGAAAATATAGGTTAATGGGGACAAATGAAAAGTGACAAGTCTGAAGACAAGGAACCAAAACAGAAAGAAGGAACGCTAGAGGGTCGAGGAACGGATGGGGAATTGGGAAACTTTGCTAAGAATAATTTAAAGTACTGTTAGACGGGAGGACAAATCAGTTCTATAGAACGGATCCCCCCTCCCCAACAAAACGAAAGCGCCTTGAGGGCCGGGCCTGCTGCTTCTACTGGTCTCGGTATCTTCAGAGCCTCGATCAGCGCGAGGCACAAAGTAGGCGCTTAAAAATACTTGTGCAGGGGCAGCTAGGTGGTACAGTAGATAGATCTCTGGCCTTGGAGTCAGAAGGACCCGAGTTCGAATGCGGCCTCAGACACTTGACTGTGTGACGCTGGGCCAGTCACTTATGAGCCCGATTGCCTCACCAAAAAGAAAAAAAAAATACTTGTGGAATTGACCGCAGACATAAGGGAGAGTGACTCAGAAGAAAAAGAGAGGCGCAGTTGCTGCATCCGCACCCTGCTAAACCCCTCTGTTCATTGCTCTTTTTTTCCGCCAGAAGCTATAAAACCTGAGTGAAGATTACCTGAAAGGGGAGGTGGTGGTGGTGACGGGATATGCTGTATAAAGAGACAGACATACGAGAGAGCGACAAGTGAGAACGAGAAGTGGGGGAGTGGGGGTGGGAGAGGGGGGAGGAAGAGTGGAAATAAGGGTGGTCGGGGGCCAGGCAGCGCTCTATTTCTAGATTAATGGAGCCCAAGGGCTTCAACCAGGCGAAAGGAGTCCTGGAGGAAGCGACAGGGACGAGGTCGGCAGGCAGACAGGTTTTATGGGCGAGGGCAGAGGAGTGAGCGAGGTGATGACAGGCAGAGCCAGCCGAGGGGCAGACTCCCACAGAAGGGAGGGTGGCCGGGCCTGCCGAAGGAGGTTCGCAGCTGTCTCTGGGGCAGGCCGGCTGGGCACCCCCGCCCCATCCCATCGGGCTAGGCAGGGGATCAGGGCCTTTGGGGCCCCCAGGTGCGGGCCAAACGGCTGCGGCGGCAGCTTTGGGCAGGAAAGGAGGGAGGGCAAAGGCGGTCTCTTGGCCATGGATGACCACCCCCCGCCCTCCTCTGGAGCTCGCTTTCTCTGCCCAGGGAGAAGCCTCCACTACCCGCGGACTGTGGCCAGGCCGGAGTAGAAATGGGTCAGTCCCCAGGCAGGTCCACGCCGAGGCTCCTTGGAGGTGAGCGCGCCCCGGACGTGCCCGGCCTTCGCTCCAGTGCCGACCTCCAGAACGTGCCGGACGAAAGGATGGGGTGACAGCCCGCCGTACCCTCAGTTCTGGGAGGTGGGGACCGGGCCTCGTCAGACCTCTCCCACGGAGCCCGGAGTCCCGGCCTGGGCGCAGACCAGCGGAGCCCCGATGTGGGGGAGACCACCGAGCCTCAGGCCGAGATTGAGACAAGATGCGGCCACCA